CATGGATATGATCAGAGTGCTAAACCCATAAGAGCTGACCACCAGAAGAATACTTACATGGAATGTATTAGTAAAAGCAACCGGGCTGAGACTTTTCGGCACGCATAAGTTGAACTAAAGAAAACAGGTTTCCCGTATTTTAATTCAGGCGTGCTCAAAAAGAACCATCTACTTCCAGAGCCTACTTTACTTAAAGTGAGGCCGAAATCGATTATACCTTTTAAGTCCACAAACTAATATATCAAAGAATGCTCCATAAACGACCGAATTAATCAAAACGCCTTTAACATTTTTTTTAAAATATTACGTAGCAAGGGGAATAAAACGACGCATAATTTGCAACTTGGCTAGCTGCTTCTACTGTGGCTGTCGAGTCGCAAACTTAACGGAAGACACGTGAATAGCCTGCTCCAGGCAACATGCCAACAGCTTTTATAGTGCTAAACGCATTGGGACGTATGAAATATGTTGCTAATGACACCCCAAAACATCAAATAAGCATTCTTACTGACCGCTTTACAAAAATTTAATTAATATTCGCTCAAATGCAAGCAAGGTTTATCTTTCCACTGTCATTAGCCTCCAGAGCAGTTAACTGAGCCCCTGCCAACGGATTTCGATAAAAATCACCACGAAACAAGACACCAGTTACTTGAATCGACAACATCATGTCATCGATTGTCTCCTTCAATTGAGCTACTTCTTCAACCAGCGGGAATTTAGAAATCGCTCACAGAGCATCAGACGTTTGTGCTGGAAGTCAATAGTTGCAGTGACACGTTCAGTTGCACTTAGGTGCTCAAATGATATCGTGACATTGCCAGCCTCACTCAAAAAACACACTTGCCATTAAACAATCCCCCCAACATTGAGGCATTACCACGTTGCATTAAACAAGGTAAATAGGTCAACTCACAACAGCAAATAAAAAAAACGAATAAAGCGCCCAAACCTTTCGTGCTAACCTACGCACGATGATAATGACACTGATCCACACTTCTTTAGACACCTTAGTAATTGGCAACCAAATTCATGACTTGAGCGATTTTTTTGATATCGCAGCCATCTGAATGTCGTGCCTGTGATCATTTTGCCCTTATATTCCTCAACGCAACATCGGTGCAAATAATAAAACATTCAGTCAAGGCAATCAAATTGAAATCCATGTATTGAGAATTTAATGTAAGCAGGTTGTCACGATCTCCAGGCTGCCAGCGCAGCTTTGTGCTTCCGGCTGTCACAAACAGGCATTCTTCTTGCAGATAACCTGGCAGCCTCCCCAACATATCTTCCTCGACGGCCAGACAGCATCAATTAACTGCATATCCCCTGTTCTTATGGACGACCGCTTAATCAAAACTAGCCCAAGCAAACCACCTGATCTCGATTTGACCCCTGGAAGATCATCCTTCTTGCAAGATTTGCTGCTAAGACTGAATTAATTGTTTTGTTCTCAGTTTCAACAATACTGATGCAACCCAATAGAGATGTTAAAGGGCGACAAATAAAATACAATGACCTGGTAAGAGCCAAGCAAACAATTATTTTTCAGAACCTATTAATATTTAATTTGAATCAGCGTTATTTCCAGAATTTTATAAGCATAAAGAAATGATGAAGTATACTAAGACCTTTTTATAAATATTTAAACTGTCATAAATGGAGCACTGACTTGGTCATAATTTCGCTGTTACCAACTTGCTTATTTGTTGCAATTCAAGCAAAATAATTTTATAATATCTGCACTCGGAAAAACATGACTAATTGCGACTTTGTCATAGAACTTCAATCCAATATGCATAAACGTTTGTTTAAAACTACATGTAAGCATTATTCTCCAGCTACTAGTTTTGTAGATTTCCCGAGAACCTGGTATGAAGAAGACAGGTACAACAGAACAGGCTTTATTGACGAATCACAATCCAGAACCACACGTCAGGCGCCGTCTATCCGAATCCGCCACGCCGGCCACGCTGCCCATTATATACTGCTGCTCATTCATGTCTTTTTCGGTTGGCTGCTTATCTTCTTCGCGTGTCATTGGAACGCAGAGAGACATAGGATTGGCCGAGACCAGCGTAGTCCAATATGTCTGCGCCTTTGACGTCGCCACAGTTTCACCCATACTTTTGCACCTTCTACAAGACCTTTTTCTTCACTGCAAGCCTCACAACTGTCTTAAGTCCTCTAATATCAATTTATGACTCCCTCACACTTGCACACGCGGGGTATTAGTGCAGATTAATTTGGTCTTCACAACGTGGCATTTTCCTGGATCGAAGAGGTTGCATGAAATTGATTACTGACTGAACTTTTATCGATAGGAGAATGACCGAAAATTTCCATAGGCTATGCTGGTCATATTCAAGTATATATTTATCGATATACAGAGCATCATGGTATATTTGATACGTTGGAGGCACATTTTTGGCAGTCCTGAGGAATATTGTATTGCGTATGTGAAGATGATATCAGTCTTCCGACGTTATAAATAGTGGCAATTCACGGATATTAATGTCAAGGTTCACTTAGCATTATAAGGCAATTTCGTGTTGGTAAACTACTATATATGTCAGTGAATTCTTCTCGCTGACCAAGCAGTTTAACAAGTTAACCCCAAGAAGATGGGGCTTACCACGGTGACTACAAAGTAGTTCAAACCCTCATTGGTGTTGAAGCAAGTCAATAATAGGTGTCAGGGAATATGGACATAGAAATGTCATAAAAACCACTGTCCAAGCATTTGGCAGTGTGATCCATAACAAAAACTAAATGGTCAAGCACATTACAGGTGATCCTGTTCATTATTTACGTTGCCCTTTCGGAACTTACACACACTGACATCATCAGCTAGCCTGTCCTTGAATAAAAAGGTCTCATCATCTGTCTCCAGTACTATATCTGTTCTTGGTCTATTACAAGACATTGACTAAAAGAAATGGTAACAAATGCCAAGCAGCACTTCTGATAGAGCATGAAAACTCACAGCCAAAATTTTACTGAGATCCTGAAATTTAATGTAGTCAAGTAATATTCATACGTTTAATAACTTGTATACGCAAAATGGGTCAGTTTTTTGAGTTCAGTTGACCATTCATTTAAAGTTGCTGAGTGACAGGACTATTTTTCAATACCTATTATTACAATATCCAGAGTTGCGATAAAAGCATATTTAACACCAATTTTGTCTAAAAATATAGCATTCATATTTTCGGAGAACCTTAACTATAATCAAAGCACAATGCATTCATATATCAAATTTGGCCAAAGCCGTAAGCACGAAAAAATGTTTTTGGAATTTATTATAAATATAGTTGCAGAAAATTATGTAATAATTTCAATTCTGAAATTGTAGACATTTTCCGTAAATTACTTCCTGGTTTTTAAGGAAATGTATTGGTATTAACTAGGCGTAAAATAAAATGCGTTTAGTGCTTTAACTTGTGCAACCCACAGATTGCCCTAAAATCCTGACAATTTTGGCAAGTATATTTCGTTTAAATTACCTTTCGCCGTCTTTGGCTTGTTTAAATAACCAGAGGTGCAGTTTGTCAAGTCTTGGGGTCTATGGCGAAACACCATCCTGACCTCATTTTTTGCCGTAAGCAACCAGGTGTATGTAGGTTAAAATTAATTAATAATCGAAACTAGCCATTGGTAGGCTTTGCGAAAAGTGCGACGGGAAATGTGTGATTTGCGACTCCTACGTTCGGCCGTGCACACTTGTTCGTATTTGTGACGAATGCAACTATGGCTCATACCAGGGACGCTGCGTTATTTGCGGTGGACCCGGTGTCTCTGATGCGTACTACTGTCGTGAATGTACGATAATGGAGAAGGACGTATGTTCCGTATTTGAAATATTCACATCCGTTTAGCGCGATGGCTGTCCTAAGATAGTGAATCTTGGTAGTGCCAAAACGGACCTGTTCTATGAACGGAAAAAATACGGATTCAAAAAGAGATAGTTCTATTGTTTATGACATTGTAGTACAATGACATTTTTATTAAGCAAATTATTTGCATCTACTAGTTTTTTATTATTCCGGAGAGGAGACTTAACATCTGTGTGAGGTCGTAGGCATGATGCTAGATCGTCTATAAGTCTCGAATTTAATTAGGAAGTAATCGAATTTTTCGTGCTGAAGGAAATTGGTTTAGCCCGAAACCTTCTTGAAAAAAAATAAGTATGTTAAACCTGACATTAGCCGCCGTTCTTACAGTCAGCTTTTGCTGGTTTTTGGGGGATAAGTTTACCTATTTATGGTACATTTCTCTGTCGAAATAGGTAATAACCTCTAAGGTTCAGTTTGAGGTCAAGTCAAACGCTCAGCGCAAATTCTAACTAGGACGGCACGCATCTTTGCGGGAGAAAGTTCTCGTATTAACTAATTTTCTGTGATAATAGGGTAGGATCTGTTCCGAATAACGGTTAACTGGCTGTGGGACGAGTTAGATGCTCCCATGTGTTGCGTCCGCCCTACCGTTTTGATAGCTAAAATTATGATTTCTTAAAGGAACAAAAAAGCGGCGTTCAGGCGCCGGCTACTTTCAGATTAGCGTGATAGAAATATCCTTACTTCCCTAAAGTAACCGGCAAAAGCACTAGCTTTCATGACTTATATGTCCGATTAACTGGAGTTAGCTTTTCGTAATCTGGCTCCAATCTGACCTCTAATGGATGGTCTTTTTACAAAATAATTATTCTGGGAGTATTCGTAAAACTCACTCGAAGGTGTGCTGTCTCAAAATTACTGTAGATTTTCCTGTACGAATATAGGTCAAATTATTTAAGAGCTCCGGCTAGTTTTAACCTATCAAAGACAAACGTCACGAACAGCGAATTTGGGATAGGGGAGGTCAGCATAGTCGCTCTCAATTGGTAACGAAGACAGGGACCTTAGCCCATGCATAGAGCGACATACATGAACCCACAAATACCATAAGTTTACGATCTGTATACTGGGTGAACAGCGGAAAAATCAATGAAAATCAGATTTTATTACTAACGTACAGGAAGTTTGTGTGAGAAAGTGTTTACAGCCTTCACAGCACTCTTGACGCAGTCGCCTACGCCAATTCCATCCAGTGCACTTCCAACAAGTTGCAACGTGTCCATTTGATTCGGTCCTAGCGTGTTAGCGACAGCGCTGCGAATCCTTTGCACATTATCGAGGTGGCCTACCGGATAACTGGGGATGGAACTGTTCCACAAGCCTACGTGTGCGGAAATTGGCTGAGAAACCTGCAAACCCAGTTGTTGCTTCAAGGCTGTTAAGCCTATCTCAATTAATGTGTGGCGCAGTTCAGGTTCAAGGTCAAACGGATCGCTGGCAGGCGCAGCTTTTAGCCAGGCTGGTCGTGGTGCGAGCATGATAGTAAAACGAACGGTCCTCCTCATCTGATCGCAAGGAACTTTCCCGTCCATGTGTGGGAAAGTACAACTGTCGTAGACAACACCCATGACCGTCTCATCCTCAGAAATTGGTAGGAGGTGACCGAATCCACAAGGGAGAGCTAAGTGAGGAATGTCGAATTCTAGGGCAACAACGCCAACACTGGCGGCTGGAGATACCTCAGGAGTTAGGAGGTTTGTTACAGAGGAGGGAAGAAATGAGTTACTAGACAAAATCATCCCCATTCCACGAGCTGGTGTGCACAGAAAAACGGCATCGTTTTTAACTTTCGAAAGGTGGGATGATCCCTCATCGAGTAGAGTTAACTAAATGCAAGGAATGGGTGCACTGACTGGAATAGAAAAAAAGCCAATAAGAAGGTTAACAGCAACTTACTTCATACTGTTTACCTTGGTAGTTAAGTGTTTTCACCAATGCGCCTCTTTTTAAGGTCACGTTAGGAGATTCCGACAAAGTTTTGATGAGACGATCAGTGAGGGCTTGCATTCCACCTTTCAAATTTAGGATGCTTGCTCGCGGTGGAGGGGTGACCCCATCTGACAATGGCGGCAAGAGGCTGTCAACGGCTTGGTCAGAAATACCTTTTTGTGAGGAAGGCAAAAGAGAGCGCAGTTTCTCAGAAGCAATGCTTTTTGCGGCTCCCAGTATTATGTTCGGGCCGCTATTTTCCCACCTAATTAACTGAAATATATGGGCGTAAATGTAAACATTAGCCGCATAAACACTAGCAGATAGGAAAAACCCACCGGACTTAGAAGTGCGGAAGCGCTAACGCGCTTGGAATCAACTCCACAAATGCCGCGTATCAACGCACCCCCTATGTACTTTGCAAATTCATCATCAAATCTCGACCGTAAGAACTCATCTACTGACACATCTTCCTTTAGTGGACCAATACCCTTCGCTAAGGAACGTCGGACGAACATAGACAAATGGGACCGAGTAAAGGGGGCTTGAGTAGTAGGAGAAAGAAGATCAATTGATCGAAGTGCACCAGCCACAAAAATAAAGCGTCTCAATTGTGGTAGCCAAAAGACTTCATCTCGAGTAAAACCGAGGCTTGAGATGAGACGCAAAAGCGGATTTGTCAAAGGCGACGAGATTCGTGCGCTATGTGGGCCAAGATCATGAAGTGCCCCTGTTTTCGGATTATATCCTGTCTTGAAGCAGCCACCAAAACGTTTGGGATTCGCTTCGTATACATAGACATGATTAACCTGACTGCGTGGCAGACGGGAAAGGAGATAAGCAGTTGAGAGCCCCGACAAACCACCACCAATAACTGCACAGCCTGCCATCTAAAGTACAATTAGAGTATACAGATAGATTACACAATGTGAAGTCGCGTTACAAGAGGATGCATACCGTTATTGCCGTTTACATTAATGAGATCAAGAGTCAAAACTTTAAAAAGAAAATGTTCGCGTAATAGGTCACATTATGATAAAATTAGCTATCAGCTAAGATTTCTATACATCCATAATATAACAGTCATCTAAAAACTTAAAAGGCAAAAGCTTCGAGTAAAGCAAAGTGGACCTAACAAAGTTACTCCTTAGGGAATCAGTCAAGGTCGTAATGACAAATTGGCGCAGCCACGTGAGTTGGCATAAACAATTAAGGCTTTATCATGGCAAAGTCAGTAAGGAAATCGTTTAATTTTTTGGGCAGACTTCAACGCCATTTAGAATTCTAAATTTGTGATAGCTTTGCACTTTTGTTGAAAGCTTTATTCAAAACTGCACCTCCTAGTATTTGGCCGATGGCCAATCACCTCAGCCGTTTGCAAATGTTTGTGTGTGGGAATCTCATCATTTCATCTTGCAGTACTTTTTTTGGGATAACAAGATTCATAAGTAATGTAACTGTCATCGGCTGTGGTACGATGGGTTCTGGAATTGCTGCAGTTTCAGCCAACGCTGGCTACAGTGTTAACTTGGTGGGCAAAAAGGATAGTTCTCTCTCGAAATCCGAAGAATTGATAGTCAAATCGATCCAGCGTTTAGCTAATGACAATCTGGATAACTGTGTTGCCTCTGCTATGTCCAGGATAGAGTTTACCACTGATTTGAAGTCAGCCGTTTCTGATTCTGATATTGTTATTGAATCAATTACTGAAAATATGTCTTCGAAACGCAAGTTATTCGAGTAGGCCATATTTTCAGTATTTCCACACGGCAAGTTTTTTTCGAATTTGTTACGTTCATCGATCCTTTTGGTATTTAGGTCCATCGACCAGCTAGCACCACGTTCATGTGTATTCGCATCCAATACATCTTCACTGTCCATTGGCGAACTTGCCGGTGCGATATCTAGAAAAGAGTTGTTTGGGGGCCTTCATTTTTTCAACCCAGTGCAAACGATGAAATTGGTGGAGGTCATCAAAAGTGAGTACACGTCTAAAGGTACCGTAAAGGTTCGTGATTTTGTGGTGTTTGTTGTACCTGGTATCTTGCTCTTTTCCTGTTCCAAAACTTGATAACCAGCCAGCCCTGTTCTAAATCGACTTGGCATTCCGTATTTCCACACTTAGGTCACTGTTTTTTTCTTAGAATAAATGCAGTTTTATCATGAAATCGGCTTCGGAATGATTTTAGAGATGGTAACTGTGGTCTTCGTTCTGCGTCGGTGCTGATGTAATAGCATCTTTGTGCCACGTCTACCTCTATTAATTGATTTGTTTGGAATCGCAAATGAATTTTTAAGGCTACAGTTATTTTGCTTCATCTTCTCGCCAGTAACTACAGTATGACCGGGACCCGAATATAGATGTTTACTATTTTCTTCTAGGACTGTTATTTTGAGTTTCAAAACATTATAAGACATATTTTGAGTATAAATTTGCTATGGAATATTTGGATCACCTATTCTAGTTGGTATATTTAAAGTTCAACTTGGCACTTTCTGTATCAATGACATATCGTATTTAACAAAAATTTGCGCAGGAGTTTAGGATTAATAGCTTCCTTGTCAAGCATTCATTTTGTCTCAAATGTTCTCATCTAAGGATTTTTTGAAGGCACAATATATTGCGCATCTTTCCTATTCAAACTTCTGGTTCATTGTCCAGCTTCCACTTATTTAGGGTTTGTCAAAGACGTTCTCAATTATTTCGCAAAAGGAATCATACTAGCGTTGGCGATAGTTGTAGTGTTGAGCCCCTTACCTCGGTGAGTTCCACGTGGTGTCCATCGACGGAAGTTTTTTTCATTACCGGACCCTTTTATCTCACTAATAATTGACACAATCAAAATAAGAAAGTTATTCGAATTGTCCTTGTTAAGTTGGACATACTTACGAAATTTGCTTAGTCTTGTACAACATTTTCGGACATTATACCTTTTCAACTTTTATGAATTCGTTTTTTAAACTAGATCTACCATGTTCCTTCAAGCATGCGTCAGTTAAAGAGCACCCTTTAAAGTAAAGTGTTTTCTTTACAACTAGATTTTAACGTCATTCGCCGAGTCCGTGGGGAAGGTGGTAGTACACTGCAAAGACACTCCTGGCTTCATCGTCAATCGTCTTCTCGTGCCATATCTCATTGAAGCTATCGAAATGTGGGAGCGCGGTGATGCATCGATTGCCGATATCGACACTGCGATGCGTCTGGGCGCTGGTTATCCCATGGGGCCGTTCGAGCTGGCCGATTATGTCGGTCTAGACACCCTACTTTCTATAATTTCTGGATGGGTCGAACGTTATCCAAGCGAACATGCGTTCCGCCTGAATGCCACAGTAAAGCAGTTCGTTACTTCTCGTCGCTTCGGCAGAAAATGTGGCCACGGATTCTACAAGTATGATAAAAGAGGACGCATTGTTCGTGATGAGTAATTTTGTTATGCGAATCGAATTGATGGATTTTTTAACTGAATAAAACTTTGTACAAAGTCTCAACGAGTGATCAGTGAAGCTTCTGCTTTTTCTTAGCTAAACATAGTAAACACATTAGGCGCCCCACGTTTCCTGTCTTGTGAGCAGAAAAAAAACCTTGTATGCGGTTGGTTACGTTAATCCCGAGAATGGAATACTGCATGTAGTCTTAGCGAATTGATAAATTATTACAACACTGCCTGTCTATAAGCAGGTAGGTTATGTTACGGAAACCCAGGTACCGCATGGCTATTTTTGCGTGGTAATGTGAAACTGTCTTGACAATTAGTCGACAGTTAGACGGCGAAGTGCTACCAGCACCAGCTTCGTTAAGTGCTTAGATCGTTAATATAACACTCAAAAGAGGGTTAGATTTACACCGAAGGCCAAAAAAGTGACGATTTTCCGCCTCATTGTCGAGTCCCCATTAACATCTCTATTGGGTTGTATCAGTATTGTTGAAACTGGGAACACAAAAATTAATTCAGTCTTAGCGGCAAATCTTGCAAGAAGGATGATCTTCCAGGGGC